TCTCTCCCACAGTTGTCAGTAATGCTTAAAAGCACTTAATATCCTTAATTCACTCTTTACAACAATTGTATGAGTGCGGAATTAATATTATTCTTTTATAGGTGGATACAATCAAACCTAGAGAATTTTAATGATGATACCAAGACAGCACAGCAGATAAATGAATTTAAGTGTTTTGTGTCCAAATCAAATTTTCTTTCTATAATAACCACACAACAGGCTTATAAAGCAATGATTCTTGTAATAGTTGAGCCAGGAGCTATGTAATATTGGGCAAGTCACTTGACAGTCTTTTCTAATAACTGCCATGAGATTATATCTCAAAATGTATAAAGACAAAATTAAACATAGTTTATTTAAATGCTGACTGACTAAATAGATGAATAGATGAATGACTAGGTAGTTGGGGAAACCCTGTGTGTGTGTGTGTGTGTGTGTATCTGTATGCACACATAAGCACAAATATGCCACTCTCTAAATATCCTTGGTCGTTAAAGTCAAAACAAACAGCTTATACATCTTGGCTAACATTTAACGGAATATTGTCCAAGTGATCCTCAACCATGACTACACATAATCTCTGAAGGGCTTTCCAAAGACAGGGGACTAGTGTTAAAAATGCTTTTCATTCAACTGATACCAGTGGATGACTGTAGGAAACACATCCAATATTTCTGGGTACTAACACATAGGAGGTTTTAGATTCATTTTTACATTCACTCAACAAAATGCCATAAGGTGAAGTTACATTGTAAAATGTTTATTCAGGAAAATGATTATGTGATTAGAAAAGCTCACATGTAATTCCCAGATCACTGAGAGGAATACTTTCACCAGAATATTATGTGTAATATTTATTTTATGAATAAAATTGGCTTTGACTTTTGAAGAAAATAATAGCGTAACAAGATAATATTTGTTTATCTTTAGGTTTTCACATACACATTTTTATGAAGATATTGTTACATTTCCCATGCTGCACTTTTGTGTGTATTTATGCAGTTATTTCCTAAGACATTTACCTATCAAATTGCTTACTTGTGGACCCTTTCAGTAATATATAGTCATTTGGAAAATGAAATTACTGTCATTCTCTTTGACAAGAACCCAGTGTTTTTCTACAATCTTTATTCTTTAAAAAGAGTGTTTTTTTGTTTTGTTTTGTTTTGTTTTTCAGATAACATTAAATTTAGTGTTTAATCATCTCTTCCACACCAGGTGATGCAAAAAGTCAGTCAAAGTTGCCATTCCTGGCAAAACTCTTTTTTTTTTGTAATCCTCACTCGAGGACATTTTTCCATTTTTTGTTTAGATAGAGTGGGAGGGAGAGAGAAGAAGAGAGAGAGAGAGAGAGAGAAACATCGACATGAAAGGGACACATCGAGTGGTTGCCACACAACCAGGGCCGGGGACAAACTGCAACCGAGGTACGTGCCCTTAGCGGGAACCGAACCCGGGTCTCTCTGGACCGCAGGCCGATGCTCTAACCGCGAGCCAAACCGGCCAGCGCCCGGCATACGTGCCCGTCTCTTCGCTCACCTTTTCAAACACGAGTAGTCCTTCTATGGAAGTGTGCGCTGCCCTGCGGCCTTGCCCTCTGGAGCCCTCCTGGGTCTCGCTCAGCTGTCCGCTCTCGGTTGCCTTCTGCGCTCCCCATACCCTCCCTGGAGCGGCCCAGTCACGGGTTCAAACGTCGGAACCAATGCATTTCTGTGCTCCACTGTCTGAAGTGCAGCCATGAATTCCTACTGCTGATGTCAGGGTCAAGCCATTCAGGTCTTTCTCTTTTCTAAAAGAAGGAGGACGAGGATGCCGGGGCTGCTTTGAACCCGGGTTTCTGCAGTATTGCTGGCTTTGCTCATACGTCTGCACGGCCTAAAGCTGCAGTTATGGGCGACTTTCCCTTCCACATGGTAGAAGTGACTAGTATGGACTATGAGGATATGATAGTATGTCAACACTGTAAACGAAACAGATGAGTGGTACAATGAGGATTTTGTCCTCTTATACTGATGAGGTGTTATTTTTGGACACGCTGGGTGCATTGTAAAAGGAGCCAGCGTGTGCCTGTGATTGTGTATGCTAAAGTAGTCATGCACAACGTCTCCAGGGTTCCACATAACATAATCTGTGGTTCAGAGGCTTGGTTTACCCTTCCTAATTTCTATGAGCATTTTGTGTATTTTGGTGCAAGTTCACGCAAAAGCGACGTGGTTCTCAGGTGTAGGAAAGCTCCTAGGTGCTGTTCATGTACCGTGTTCATAGCTGTCTAGGATATACAACAACAGCATTATGAGGAACACACTTCTGTTGTTGTAAAACAGCTTCGGGAATAACTATTTTTCTTAGGGACGAAGCAGATACCTTCGAAAGGTGGACCCCCCCCCCGCCCCCCGCTCATTATCTAGGGAATTCTGAGCAGGCTGCAAAGCTCGGTGAAGTTTCACGCCTTGGAAGCCATCTCTTTACAAATAAGCTCCGTATTTATCACCTTCTGTATTGTCGTAATCTGCTAAAGTAGTCTTTTGTTTACATTATACAATGTTTCTACAGTGATGAATTACCTCTCAGCCCTTGGTTGGTAAAGTGTTGCAGGAAACATGTCTAAGCGGATACTTAGGAGGAGAAAAATTTGTGATGGAAGTGGTCACTACTTCCAGAATTAGAATTTTGGATATGTCTAATACAGTTAAAAGAGAGAAATTAATCGAAACTGCATCTGGAGTCAAACAGTGTTTCATAACATGGGCTTAAGGACATTTTATAATTTTAATGATAAATCAGTTGAGATATTTTATGAAAGCAGCCTTTCATAAAATAACAAAGAATTTCTGTAAGGGGATAACATACTAATGAGAAGCATCATATAATGTTCTACAAAGAAATTAGATGATAATGCTGGGAACCAATTGAAATAATGTTCTTGTTCGAAGACTAGATAATGATAATAGCTTTTTACAAAAGTAGTTTATGGTGTTCATTTTTTTTCTTTTCTTTCTTAATGTCTGAGAAAATTAGAAACTTATTTCTTAATTTCAACACATGAATAAAATCTTGTTACTTAGAATTTCTTGCAGGAGATATTTTGGATGATTCATTTTTATATTTTCTAATTTTATCTTTTTGTTGGGTCAGTGATCATGTTATCTTAGAAACAATAACAACAAAATCCACAATAGCACATCAACTCATTTCCCTTTTTTAGTTGATCTGGTACATTGTTGACTTATTTTCTTTCTTTTCTCACTGTTGCAGAATAAAATTCCCTTATACTACTGCCTATTGTATTTTCTGAATTGAGCTATAATTTATATTCTATAAAGAAACATGTTTTGTTCCTTTCAGTGTTCAAGTTTGGGGGTGAATAGCAAACCAAAATCTTTTATTAAACAAAGAATGAAGTGTACCAATTTAATATAATTTTAAGCATTGTTGTTCTGTTACCATAATGAAGCTGAAAAAGAGTTTTTGGTTTTCATATAATAGAACAATATTGTCCATTTACATGTAACCTCTCCTTTAAGGCTGACACATGCTGAGTGAACTCGAGTCTTTATGGGCCTTGAATGTAGGCACCCAATAAACACTTCTTGAATTTATGGGTGATTAAGTATAAGATTAAATTATATTAATGCCTAGTAATAAAATTCTGAGTCCACCCTGCCAGTGTGGCTCAGTGGTTGAGCATCAAGAGGTTGCTGATTTGATTCCCGGTCAGGGCACATGCCCAGTTTGTGGGCCCAATCCCCAGTGGGGGGCATGCAGGAGGCAGCCAATTGATGTTTTCTCTCATTGATGTTTCTCTCTCTCTCTTCCTCTCCCTTCCTCTCTCTCTCTCTAAATCAATAAAGGAAAAACATTTTTTTTTAAGTTTAAAATTCTGAGTCCATTAGTCTGGGTAGAATCTTGGAGTCTTTATTATTATCATTATTTTTGTTGTTGAATTTTTCTCTTTGAAACTTAAAGGAATGATCCCTAGCCGAGTGGGTCAGTTGGAGCACCGTCCTGTACACCAAAAGGCAACTGATCAATGTTTCTCTCTCTCTCTCTCTCTCTCTCTCTACTTCTCTCTCTTTCCTTCTCTCTCAAATCAATAAAAACTTAAATGAATGCAATTGAATTTGGTCAAAATTGTTATCTTAAGTTAAACAAAACAGTCAGACAATTTAAAATTTCCAAAAAAAGTTTTTCCTGAAATTATGATTTTCCAAAAGGACCATTGTAGGAATTCTGTATGTTATTTTGAGACAAAAATATTGTCATTACAAAGTTAAGTTGTAATCTAATTGTTAGAAGTGATTTGTATTTAATAATGTGGTAGGCGGGTGGTGGGAGGTTGGAGAACTCTGTCCCCTCTCTCAATGCTCATGAGAATGTATGGTAGGTCTTTCACCAAATGTGAAGGTTTTCCCAGTATTGTTGCCAGGTAATATTATGCTCCCAGATTATGATAGTGTTGGGTAAGGGTTAGATTATAAAATCCTAGGACCTAGATAGAGCTGCAATGATGTTTACGGTGATCTAATCAGAATTCCTTTCGGTTTATAACAGGAAATTGAGACCCATAAGTGAAGAATGGGTCAAACCAACAAAGTGAATGTTTTTAATTCAATAGGTTGCATTTGTACAGTTAGGTCGGTAATGCTTTACATACAGAACTAGTCTTTTAGAAAATTTTCTAAATTGCTATTTGTGTTTAGGTTCCCATGGCCTCCTTACTCCTCCATAGTGCGCTTATGTCTCTGGATTTTAACAGCTGAGCCTGTCTCTCCCGACAGGATGAAGGTGTCTTCATAGCAGAGGTTGTTCTTACTCTGGGACTTTTGCATCAACTTTCATCATGATGATTGTCACAGAGCAATCCTTGAAATATTTCGGGAACACATTAATGTCTCGTGGCAATAAGAGAAAAATTAATAAGCACTTCAGTAATAAATCTGCCATCTATTAAATTGTATGATTAACAAAGATAAATGTGTTTTCCATTTTTCTCCTTGCAGTCTCCAAACGTCCACAACTACCCCGATATGGAAGCTGTTCCTCTGTTGTTAAATAATGTGAAAGGGGAGCCTCCGGAGGACTCGTTGTCTGTAGATCACTTCCAAACACAAACTGAGCCAGTGGACTTGTCTATCAACAAAGCCAGGACATCCCCCACAGCCGTTTCATCCTCCCCGGTTTCCATGACAGCGTCCGCCTCCTCGCCTTCTTCAACTTCAACCTCTTCATCCTCTTCTAGTCGTCCAGCCTCATCCCCAACTGTTATAACATCAGTATCTTCAGCATCATCTTCGTCAACAGTATTAACTCCAGGGCCCCTCGTTGCCTCGGCATCTGGTGTGGGAGGCCAGCAGTTTTTGCACATTATCCATCCTGTACCGCCTTCGAGTCCCATGAATTTACAGTCTAACAAACTGAGTCATGTTCACCGCATCCCCGTGGTCGTACAGTCGGTGCCTGTTGTCTACACAGCCGTGCGGTCACCTGGAAATGTGAACAACACGATTGTAGTGCCGCTTTTGGAGGACGGGAGAAGTCATGGCAAAGGTAAGGGACACAAGCAAAGCCTTGGTTTGTTTCCGCACTAGAGGTCACGATTCTCATTCAGTGAGCGAAGCCTAAATCTCATGCAAATACACTTCACTCAAACAAGTTCTGTACACCACAGCACAGCCTTTGAGAGTAGGAACTAAGCTCTGATTTATATAGGTATACGATTCAGTATTACTTAGTCTATATTTTATGTAACAAGTCATTTAATGCCAGAATTCAAATACCTCAATCTGCAAAATAGCATTCACCTTCAGGTACCTAGATGGGAAGGACAATCTGTAGTTAGTGTAACTGTCTGTAAGAATAAATGTGTAAATCCCTTGTAGAAGTGACCTGTTATGAAATTTTTACAAATGTGAATCAGGATGTTTCTTCTTGTAGTTATTCAGATTGGAAGTTATTTGGATGACAATGATATAAAATGCCATAAAGTCGTAAAGCTTGAAATCTGATCATTTAGTTTTAAGTAACTTGTAAATTAAGTTGCCATGAAAAGAATTTTTAAGTTAGGTGTTTGGCTACAAAAATATTCGTGTTGCTTGAGTTCTTATCTTTATGTAAGTCTTAAGTTATTATTTATATAGCAGGATGGTTCAGTATGATGGAAATACATCAACATACAGTGTTACTATTTCCCTTCTAGGGTTTAGAAGGCAGGAAGATACTTTGCTACATGACTGTTTGATAATAACCTAGTTAGTTAATTATATATGATAGTTTACAGCTGAACATGAAGTTATTTATCTACTTCTAAGTTCTTTTTTTTTTCCCTCAATTTACTAGAAGGAACATGTAATAGCATGTTTTTTATGTCTTTTCTTCCCTTCCTGTGAATCTAAAGAATAAGCCACCCTTCTATAGAAATGTAAAATGCCCATGATCATTGATTTATTCCCTTTTAAACTGAATACATATGGATGTATTTTGTCCTCAGAACTTCGAAATGATGATGGATTAAGACTTCATGTTGTATTACTTTTTGCTTGTTTTGAATACCATATTACTATTGAGGCCCATAATTAAAAGATGATTGATGCAAACAGAAAACACTGCCTTCTCATAAAATGCTAGGAAACATGCTTGTTTAGGTCCTTGTGTAAGGTCAGCTTCAGTGCATAGGAAGCATATTTGATTGTGTACTTCGAGAAATTTTACAAACATGTACTGTGCGTTCACCTTTGGCAAGTTCATGTTCATGCTAGTCCCATCACCCTCTTCATGAATAAGGTAGAAGAAAAACAGGGAGTAGGGAGCCTTTTTATGGATTTAACTTCAGCTGACCCCTTTTTGATATTATTATTACTTCTGATCACAATGAGCTAATAGATTTGAATAATTACATAACCAATGACACATCAGGTATTTATTTTCTTTTATAATTATAGATATTTTTTTCATTATATTCTATTTGGGGCTTTATTTTTCCCCAACTCATTCAGTATCCATTAAAATTCTACTCCACTTTCTTCTATTGTAGTTTTTTATTTTATTTTTTAAATTACAGTTAATTCAGTTTTATATTAGTTTTAGGTGTACAGCATAGTAATTATAGATGACTTTATAAATATTTTTAAGAACTAAGAATTAGCAAAAATATGACCTTGCATGTTATATTATTTTGTATATGTGTATGTGTATATACTATGGAACGTAGAACCCAGTCTTTGTGCGATAGCACTTAAGGGGGATATTGCTTTTATTATAAAATTGATTAATCAGGATTTTAACATTTTTATGACTTTTTAAAATAATTTTGATGCACTAATGAAGAAAAAAAAGAGGTATTTCTTTTATTTGCCATTATCAATTTTTATGGGAGAGATTATTTTTTATTTAAAGTGTATTATAAAGTATAGTGCCAAAAATGCCAAAATTTAATTTTATGGAAAACATATCTTTGCAGGAGAACTTTGTTAAACATCAGGCTGTAATTTGTTCTCTACATGAGTATATTTGTTAGTTATATTCAGTAATGCTTTCTCATATCAAAAATGAATATTTATGTAATCATAAGTACACTGGACTGTGATGTGGGCATTACAAGCATGATATTTGGAATCAGGAAGGTATTAGTTAGAATTCTCTCATCTACAGCTTTGGATTTGGGCAAGTTATTTAGTCTCACTAATCTTTATTTTCTTCAGTGATAAAATAGGATTAAAACATGATCGATCTTTCAAGGTTCTTGGGAAGATGAAGAGCTTATGTATAAACGTCTAGCATTGATCAACTCTCCATACATGTTTGCAATTATTTAGTAATTATTATCTTCCCCTGAAGTTCATGAAACAATAATGTTCGGAATTTTTTCTCTGTTTTGTGAAAACAGAAAGTTGGAGGAAATAAAACTTACTGAATTTAAAAATGAAAAACCGCTCCCAAGAAGTTGGTATAGAAATGCCTCTCAAAGGTTTTACTCCAACAAATTATAGGAGATGAGTGTTTAGCATGAGAAATTGTCTGGAAACGTCCCATATTTTCTATTTTTATTACTTGATATTAAGTTTTTATAATCACCATCTTCTACAAATATTGCTATAGTATTTTATAAATTTTTTTTATTGCTGAACTGATTAATTAAATGACATTAAAAGTGTCTAGTGTGGGAGGCCTGCGTCCTGCCCAGAATGAGTAAAGGAAAGGGTGTCCCGGTAATCTCTCCAGTCTTTAGTTTGCACACTTGCAGCTGGGCACTAGCCCAGCAATGAAACGGCTGAGGGATAAAGGGATCCCCTAGTTCATTCCCACGTAGGACTCGTGTAACTGATATAGATGAGCAAAAGAAAATACAATAAAGAGTTGGACTTTCAAAATGCTAGTAATAAAAAACAAAAAACGAACTCATATCAATGTAGCCAATTATATTAGCTACCAACTTCTGAAGTTGGTATAACATATGTGGTCTCTGGTAGAGAAATAGATTACTGTATGTCACCTTACACAGAGGGCCGTGGGTGTACACATCCATGTCTAAGATAACGTAGCATATGACGCGCATCGTTTGTTCATTCAAGTACTGACTGAGCATCTATCATGTATCAGGCATTTTATTGGCACAAGGGGCACAGTGTTGAACAAAGCAGATGCTGTTTCTATCTGAGTATTTATAGTCTATCAGCAGATAGCAACATTACACAAAAAAATAATACAAATAACTGGTCATTGTAGACAGAGTTGGATGGAAACATAGCCAGGGATTTGCCCGCGGCAGAGTTTAATTATAATTTCAGATAGAGAAAGCTGCTTGTGACAATAGTATTTTCCTGGAGAGTGTTACATATGGTTGGAAGAAAGGTTCTTACTGTGATGCTCAGATGGGATGGTTGGGGGATGGGAAGTAGGGTGAAACTTCCACATGGATAAGTTTGAGTAACAACAAAAGGATGTGAAATGAGGACAGAACCTTGGCCCATCCACCTACTTAAAGAATATTAATCTGAAGAGTTGTAAGTTGTTGGTTAGCCCAGGCACCAACATAGCTCAGCTGGGCCTTCGGTGTAATATGTGGTATGAAGAGAAACGGCACGATGTTCTGGAAGGTACAGGAAACAAGCACAATTTAGACTAAAGCAGTAGAGGGAGGATGGCAGAGAAGGTGTCTCAAGGAAGACTTTTTCTTTTGCTTGATACCAAAAGGGTAAAATGGTAGGTAGCCCCTCCGAGTGACAGTGCCCAGAGCGCAGAGACTCTCCCTGTGGAAGCACAGGCTGGTCTGGCCCGGGTTTGTTACTAGGTAACCTGAGACAAGTTATTTATAAACAAGACCCTCAGGGGTTATTTTTTACCTCGTAAAGGAATTTCAGTCCAGCCTGGGGAAGTGTTTGGTAGGTTTCACAGATTTTCATTAATTTTTTACAGATATTTAATGGCAGAAAACAGAAGGTCTTACATCACAAGCGACGTTGTTCTTGCTTTGTTACCGCCTTGATGGAGGAGTAGGGGTGTTTAGGGTTCCCCTCCCTCCCTCCTTCCCGCTCTCCCTTCTGCTCTGGCAGTGAGGGGGGAGGAAGCGTGCTGGAGAGGGTGACAGTGAAGAGAACATTGCAAGGAGGGAGCCATCCACTGTGTCCAGAGCTGCTGTGGACAATGAGGACTCAGATCGAGCATTTGGTGGAGGTAGAGTTGGTTGGTGACAGTGGGTCAGTGGAGTGGTGGGGACAAAGGCCCGACTGAAGTGAGTTGTGTTCAGATGGGAGGGGAAAAAGGGGAGACCGGAAGGCGAGACAGTTCTGCTGGAAAGAGTTGTGGATAAATGAATGATAGCTGCGGAGGCTTTAACTCTCAAGGGAGGGATTCTGAAAGAGGAGCCAGGAGAGCAAATTTGTATTCTGTCAAGAACGATCCAGTAGACAGTTGAACATGGATAATTCTAGACAGGAAAGCATTGTAGAGGCAAAGTCCCTAATTGCACGTTAGTTGCGTATACTAACTGCATCTTGTACTAATTAACAAATTCTAAGGTCATTTTATTAGATTGACAGAACCTTTTAGGAAAATGAAAGAAAACGTGAAAACAGAAAATAAACTGGAAACAATGAAAAGCAAACAAAAGTTTAGTAAAATTTGGGTTCCATGGAGAATTATAAAAATGATACCAGAATTAATATAAATAGAAGATCAGACATTTCTCATTCACCACCAAGTGGGACATGCAGAATTCATTCCAAACAAAAGATTAACCGAAAATAATTTGTATTTGTTATTTAAAGACATTTTTACATTTGAGTGGTAATAGATACTACATTTTGGAAATTTGGAGCACTTAAAGGCCAATACCATAACAGTCTGTGAAAATCCAAGTAGGGAGTTAAAAAGGAGGACTTATATCCTCCCTGCCGTTCCTAAGCTGGTCCTTGCTCCAGGTAGCTGGGAGGGACAGGTGTTATTGCCTGGACAGGTGTTATATGCCCAGGAATGAGACTTGAGCAAGGGTGTGATCAGCAGTGGTTTGGGAACAGTCACAACTGAGAAGTCTTATACAGCCAGGTGGGTAT